GCGTTATTCTTTGACCGACTTGGTCCCCTTTCAATACATAACTGGCGGGCAAGAACTTTCATTGTTACATCCATTCAGATTTTGGTGTTGATCAAGCATTTATAGGATAATCCATTTCGTGATCCAGCCTTGGCAGTCCTGCTGCAGTAACACATGTTAAACGGGATCGTCATCCAGGACATCATATGTTCAATGTAATGTTTCCCATTTTACAATACCGATCGCTCAACGAAAACGCTGAACGTTTAGTAGGTACGTTCCGTGTATGACAAGCAGATTATGCTCGGCATAGTTGCCCGTTCGACTGCACTATAGGCGAAACTGTGAAGAAATGTGAACAAACCGGATCTGCATCAGATTTATTAAAGCCACACATCATTAAAACGCACACTAAACCGACTGTTACTGAAAATGTCGAATAAAATCCAAATCCGTCCATTAAACGGCGCGCACAACCTTTGTGACTGTATTAACGCACATTATGGCATAGTTTTCGTTTGGATTTACATTTGCATCCTTACAAAAGTCAGCTAACGCAAGAACGAAAGTCGGCTGACCATGCAAAGTGTTGAGGATACTCCCAACTTACAACAGATGAGTATGAACCTCAGAAGGAATCCGAAAACTTTTCATGTCTTCGTTGATGCTAAGACAAAGCCTAACTGGCCTACTTTGTATATGCATTTTAACAGAGACGATTCAATGGGCGCTATAAGGGGCAACCAATAGGTTTGCAAAATTGTTATAGGAAACTTATTCTAAAGACATCTTCTCACAGTCTAGGGACAACTATCCTGTTCGAACGTATAACATTTTCTCTTATGTAATTCTGTTCGAATTAGAAATTCGATACGGCTTAGTTCCCCCAAAGTATTTCTATTCTCCTGATCCAGATGGCATATCTGTCTGCCTGCTCAAACATTGCTCGATCTCTGACAGATATATTCAAGTTGCCGTTAGCATCTGGCGTTTTTCCACACCCGTGGAACTGTAAAGTCATTGTTACCATTTTGAAGAACGGCTGCAGAAATCACATAGCTATAGCAATCAGCTACAGTCCAACTTGATCTTCTCTCGAAGCTCTTTATGTTTCCTCATATCAACACCGTTTTATCTCCAGTAGATGCAGAGTAATAGAAATCTGTTAGGGCCGCCGACATCTTAGAACTTGAAAGAGTTTTCAATTGACTCCAGTAAGGCTCATCGCATTGAAAGTCCTATCTGAAGTAGTTGCAATTTACGTCAGTTCGCTGTTTGAAGATCGAATGAAACAGTCCTAATAGATCTGTTCCTATATACATTGAGTGTAAAATGGTGTTTCATTTATAAATGCGACCTGTATTCTAAAACTAAAACACTTTTTGAATCTGAATATTTTTTTCTTCAATATTCTTTTTAATAATATTGTATCGTGTTTTCCTTTGTTTTGCTTTGTTTAAAACAATTTACATACATAAGTTTTCGGGTAAAGACTCCTCGCTACTTGTACGGAAATCTTGCACTAACACTATTATATCTTTTACGCTAAATACTAGAGCTATGAAGTTATAGCTGTAGCCGTCATTGTGATGGCCGTTTAATGTCTCACTTGAGATTGTTGTGATAAATGATACTCTGCGGCAAGTACCATCTGTTAAAAATATTTTACATCTATCACTTTGATATTCTTCTCGTGGATAGTTTACGAATGCTCTTGCAGGATAACAAAACTCATTCACAAGTCATTCGAAAACCTGCTATAAAAAGAATTTATTAACTAAAGCATAATAACAACGTAGTAAATGCTTTCATGACCATCAACTGCTGCATTGCATAATTGATCAATCAAATAACTAACGGACACTAAACATAATCTCATTATATATCATAATTGGATATCTTCTGTTGATTTCCAAACAATTTTTTGTCAATTTTGTTGTTGCTTTTTTTTTTTTTTTTTAGTTTTTTCCGCCACTAACCTTGATAAACTATGACCTTTAGGCCGTAGCCATAACCGTATCAATGTGTCCACATACCCGTATGTCTATATTATTAAAATAAATTGCTTCTCTTGCTGCCAACTATTTTTTATGTTTATATAAATGCAAAAAAAAGAAAAAAAATTAATGAAAATATGATATGGAACACAGTAGCGGTAGCATTTAAGCCGATACCACTAGCAATCGCCTTCATGAAACTTGAATGCTAGACAAAGGGAAAATATATTTAAAAAAAAAAAAGAGAAAAAAAAAAAACGAAAGCGAGATAAACAAATGAAAAATGAAAAGACTGAAAAATTCAAGTAAATATAGCCTGCGGACAGAGCTTTACGCCAGTAAATCTCTATACACATTTCCGTTTGTATATATGTTTGCGATATAGATATACACATATAATTATTATATATAGCTGAGAGAATGTTTGGTTATAACACACTAACAGCAGAGAAAAAATCATATGTTTCCTTTCCGAATACTCGTTTGTGCGAGTGTTTACTAGTCTACGTTTACGCAGTGATGTACGATACATATGCTAGGTACAATGATAGACATATATGACATACCTATGCACAATGATATGTGCATTGTGGGTTTATAAACGAACATCTCGCACATACCACGGATGTCCAATCTTAGGCAACTAATCGAACATGAGGATGAGAGAGGTCTTTGGTTTGTAATTAGAATTTTGAGCGCTTCATGATTAGCATGGGCACACGATGCATAACTCAATAATATTGAATGGAAAACCGTTATTTTAGGTGGAGAAAGGTCAAAATCATCGAATTTAAACGTTGGGTGTACTGGCATTTCCACTTTTCTTTTCTTTTTTTGTCATTTTTACGTATAGAAGTCGTTGGCAAAAATTTTTGCAAACACCTAATAAATAGAACCTTGGCTTAAACTACATGTGAGAAATGGTTTTTTTAATGCTTCTAGTTTACTATGGCAGCGCTAAAGCCGATTACAAACGATTACAATATATGCCCCGATATCGTCGATTGTAGGAATTAAGTATGCATAGCTAACGCCGCCTTGTCAAGGGAGTTCAAAAATTGTCATCTTCCTTGAATCAATATGGCATCCACGCACATCAGTATTCAAGTGTAAGTTCGCATATCCGCCGACGACGTGTCACCGGCAAATTGTGGCCTTGAACATTGTTTTTAGCTTTTAACCTACAAGGGCTGTAGGAGAGGCCACATTTACCGAGGGCTAAAAAGTGAAAAATATATGTCACAATTTTGTGGGCTGTAAACGCAAACTAGACATAACTCACTTTCTCAAATGGAGTAAAAACAACCAACTTCATCGATTTATTGTAGAGCCCACGCACATTGGTATTCGACTTTTGTCTTTTTGGTTCAAAACATATAACACAGTGATCTCATAACAGTCAGCCGTTAAGGACGGAAAACTGTCCCCTGTTTGTTCTTTGTCTTTCTTCGTCTCACGTATAGCTATTGCATAAGATTATAAGCCGTCGTGAGTCTTTGATAAGACTTTGAATTGTTGGCTGCTTCGGACCTTTATGATGTGACCATTAATTGACGTCGACCTACGAAAATTAAGATATTGATGAGAAATTTGCGTCATTTTCTGTCGATATTGAAGTATTGTGTGTGCCCTCTAGGAGAAATCGAAAGGAAGAATAAGCCAATCTTTATAGTATAGCTTCGAAAGAAGTAATTGTATATGGGTAGTATAATGAGGTATATATGTATATGTGGTATATGTAGTGTAATTGTAATGAGTGCATTTTTATGTACGATGGAAGGACCTTGTGTAAGGTTAGACACCCTTGGCCTACAGTGCGGCATAATAATAAAAGAATAATTTTATGATATTTTCGTTATAGTGAAGGACAATGTTACGTAAATATTAATCATAAAAGCATATACAAATGTGTTTATATCGTGATATCTTTATGCATACACTCAGTTATGGTTGTTATAAAAATTGAAGCACTGACGTGTGCTACATTGTTATAGATAATTGATATCCATATATACGCTGCGCGAGTCTATATACAATCTTTTATTTATTATATGCGAAGTTATTTAAAAATTAATTTTTTTTTTTTTTTCTTTGTAACTATTTTTCATAAAATATTATATTTTTTCGCTACAAACTGTAATATTCTAAAGTTTATTAAAGCGAAAGCACTTAAAAAAAATATTTATTACAAAGTATTTTATTATGTCATATTTGTTTTTCTGCATTGTTTCATTTAAAAAAAAAAAAAAAAAAAAATTTTTTAATTATATATATCTCAACATGACCGTAAGCACTTTATATTACAAGTGCTATCCATTAAAATATCGGAGATGAACTTGTTTCATTGAATAGCGCAAACAGAATGGCGTATGG